CGGCGATGAGGTGTTTGCATTCGCCTTAATCAATTAGATATTAGCACAGTTATGTTTTCCGGTTTCGAAACGATCGCAGATAACCTCGTCGACACCCCGGCGGCTCAGAAGATCGAAATCGAGATGGTAGATAGACGTAGGCTCGATCGAAGAATTAGGAAACCATACCTTCATGGTCAAGTGGGAAACTGCCGCGCTCGGGACTGCATTACAGGTTAGCCTTCAACTTTCGAAACCATAGCTTCTACGGATGATATTGCGTGACTTCATGCGCCAGGAAGAATGAAGGAACTTGGGAAACTCACGGAGTGGGCTTGGTGGGAGTGACGCCGGTGCCTGGAGCTCCGAAACCCATTGTGACTTTTCTTGTATTCGAACAGGGAAATCACGAGAAAGAGAGGAAGCAATTGAGAAATGATTAAGCCGACAAAATTGAAGGTGTGGAAATAACACGGCCACGGGACTTTGATGGTATGGATTGGGAAAACGGCGCCGTCGGTCTCCGACTCCAGTTGGAGCAAACGGTGCAAACTTACCACTTAGTGACAATAATTCATGGATGGAATGTATACGATTTTCAGACAATTTCAGACACGCTGGAAGTTGTAATTCTGTATACACATCTGCAAGGTTGCCGTAATGAGGTTGTTTGTATTTTATGGTACGTAGGCGCTGCTAGATGAGAGTACCTTGCATGTTAAGTATGCTACAACCCTCCAATTCTGCGCCGCATTCTATTACTAGTAGTCATTGAACCCGTAACTGCAGTGCTGCATGGCATCTGCCTCCCCTGTCTCCTGTAGAAATGCATGTACGCTAGCCAGGGGGCCCTTGCGAAAAACATATTCCCGGGGATGCGGAAATTTTGCTCCAATCCGGGCATTGTAACCATTAAATTCAGGGCTGGGATATTCATTACTAGGTGACTTGCACAATAGCGGATATTGGGTTACATCTGCTGCACTTCTTCCTGCTTGGGATGTTCAGCAATCAACAGGGATTTATAATGAACTCTATTAACTACAATGTGAAATACTACAAAGATGGCATGTTACGAGAAAGATAATGTTCACAAGGCAAGATTTGTATTGGGGTATCATAAAGTAGCTAAACTCATTCCATTTGCGTAACCTGCGTTTAGCTGTCAGCCAAGCCCACAACACATCTTGATGTGACAAAAGACAGATAGTGTGGTGATATCAGTTCTCCAAGGTGAAAATTTTTTTTCTTCAATGATGTTCAGTAAGAACACAGCGAAATAATTGTTGCTCATCATAGGAAAGCTGGGGCAAGGAGATGCAGGGATACTCACTCTTTGAATCTTGCTGGTTTACACGACTATAGTAGCAGAAAATCCTACATCACGAAGCCAGTCAGCACATATCAAAAGAGTGTTATGTGTGATTCAAAAGTGTGATGTGTCAACAATAGTCAGGCTAATGAATGTTAGCGGAGTGATACTTGTACACAGTAGCATATCGAAACTCACCTCATTAAATCAGAATTTTTGTAAAATGTTCATACCATGCAGAGCATGGATCACACAGTGTGAATAATAAGATTCATCATATAAAGTTGACTGGGTTGGGTGTGCAACAGAAGCAACAGAAAAATTGGAAAATACCTGAAGACTTGTTAGTATATTGCAAGTCCCACGAATGGCAACCAAAGAAGGATAAGCCGAAAGCTCAGGTGACGAGTTCTCAACAAGTAGTACACCGTCCTACACCCGCAGAGTTTGTACGCTCTGCTTTTGATGGATGCAGGTAGATGTATACGTTATGTCCGCCCGTTCGTTCATGGTTTCTTCATTGGAATCGAACAAGAAAATGGAAGAGATTTGTTTACCTATTGACATTCTGTTAGTCAATGATCATGCAAGTTAAACTTGTTGATAGTAGCAAAGGTTGTAGTGTATGTCAGACAAGGCTGAAACTTGAGTTATACACGAATTCCACATGGTGATTAAGTTTGAGGAATGCCATAGCGTGTCATAGAGTCATCATTCGAGGGGAGAAAAGGACAAGAAAAAAGAGGGAAGTCTGTTGCATACCTTTTACAATACTATGAAAAATATTCGATTTGAGGAGAAAGTGAAGTCATCCTCAAAATTGGATGTACACTACACAAGACATTCTCAAGAATACAAGATCATGATTTGTAACTTGAGACGCCAAGGCAATGCTCAATCCATGTTGTTGTTGTCGCTGAGGTGTAAAGCTGGGAAAGTTCAGAGAAAAAATTGTTGTGGGTGGGACGAAGTTTTATAGGTGGAGAGCTTGGACCAACGGTAAGCGGGTTTAACCCAAAGCGTTGTTTGCTGCAAAGACAAACACAATTTTGTACCCTAACAATTACAATTGAATATCCATGATGGTACGGAGCACAACTGAAGTCTTTACAAACCCAGCGCTAGTTTCTAAATAGATGCGTTCAAAAACTCCTTAAACAGTCTGAATCATTTGTAGACAGTGAGCTCTACTGGCCCTCGCTGCAACAAATAACTCTTTGTATGCTATGGAAAACCCTCAATAGATCACTGCTATGGACCTATGGTTTAACAATATCGTGGCTAATTGGCATTTTAACACCGAGTAGATAAAATGTATTCAGAGACGGAATATGTTATTTCCTTTTTTTTCTTTTCTGCTAACCCAACTTTTCCCGATAAAGAGCAGACCATAACAAGCCGTTGGTTTAGCAGAACAGCAACAATCTATACGACAGAAGTTCTATGTTCTAACAATGACGGCAATAAAGTCTCAAGCGTAACTCAGGAATCACTTGCTGGTCGAATCGGGTGAAGCTGCGCAACTGGAAGACCGATGCTGATTCCTGCCCTTCTCCCTGAATAGCAACAACCTTTGAATGAGGACAGTTCTCCCCAGCACATTTGAAACCGAGTGCGTCATTTGATAGACTTGCCCGGTGGTGGCAGGCTTTTCACGTGCAGCAAAAGTCGTTAAATATATACACAATACAATATATGCAATAGAACAAAAGACAAGGAATGGATATGAGTGGCCACAAAAGACAAACGAATAGAGATTTAAATGACAAGGTGGAAAAGAAGAACAAGGAGGGTAACCGAAATGAAAGTCTATTAGCATGTTTCAATTCTATATCAAGCGGAGACCTTGGTTGCCTTGAAGTCATCGCTGAACTCATAGTCAATATACCCTTCTGGTGTCTGTCCGTACATACTGGCGGGATCGTACGAAGCGAATGGGATGTTTTGTTGTACCCTGAAGGCGAGGTCGGGATTAGAGATAAACGGCCGGCCGAAAGCAATTGCAACGTCATTGCTCTTATACTTAGCGTCTACCGCTTCTTTAGCTGATTCATGATCGTAACCTCCGGCTAGGATGACGGGGCCTGCATTGCCATAGGCATCAAGCAGGAACTTGGAGCTTTCTGCTGGGTCCTTGCTATCGGACTCACAAGCATGCAGATACGCCAGCTTGAAGTCTGCCAACTTGGAAACAAGGTCAGAGAATTGAGGGATCGGATCGGCCATGCGCATGCCCTGGTATTGGCTCCAAGGACTTAGTCGAATAGCGGTACGGTCATTACCGACTGCATTGACAACGGCTCGGGTGACCTCCACCGCGAACTTGGATCGCTTTTCAAGACTGCCGCCCCATGCATCAGTCCGCTTGTTCGACACGTCTTGAATGAACTGGTCGACAAGATAACCATTCGCCCCATGGATCTCTACCCCATCAAACCCGGCGCGAATGGCGTTCTGGGCCGCAGTTGCAAAATGCCCAATGGCCGCGTGGATCTCCTCTTCGCGCAAGGCTCGTGGATGGTGCATTTCGTCACTGAATGCGCTTTGCATCGGTACATCGCTGCTAGAAACTACATCATATCCTTGAGCCTGTAGAAACCGGGGGTTTGCTGCGCGCCCAAGCGCCCAGAGCTGCAGGTAAATGTGTGACCCTTGTGCGTGAACGGCCTTGGTAACCTCTTTCCAGGCTTCGACCTGGGCATCGTTGTAGATTCCAGGCACGTTGGAGTAACCACCGTGTGCGGGAGTGATCACAGTGGCCTCAGTTATGAGTAGGGTCCCCGGAACGCAAGACCGTTGCTGGTAGTACTCTTTTACTGACGGCAGGGGTCGGTGGTGCTGATCGGCTCGCAAACGGGTCATGGGTGCCAGGGCGATGCGGTGGCTCAGAGCCATGCGGCCGACTTTCAGAGGAGTGAACAATTTCGACATGATCTCAGTGTATTAATGGTACTTCCCGCGTATCTCACGATGATTCGAGATTAGTCTGTAGCGAGATAGCCCGCATTTTATATACCGATCCCGACATTCCCATCGAGCCATCCAAGGCTTCCCCGGTACAGTTTGCATGAATCTTCTATTGGCCGACCAGCCAGGGGAACCGTGGACGTTTAGCCACCAGAACTGTTTTACAAAGCATTTGTCAGTCAAGAGATTAAATTGTTGTAGATTGTCGGTTCGTCTGTGGGGCGCGGGATAGAGTGTACCGGGCCCAGGATTGGTCGACGATTACCCACTTTGCGGACTATCTGTCGAATAACCCTAACAGAGAAAAAGTAGGCCTCCCTGACCCAAGTATGTCGTGATGATCTCCCTGCCATGCTATGAAGTAGCGCGCTTAGATATTACGAATCTCGGCTTTAAAGATGCCGGACTGCCCGATTGATTGATAAGCCTTGGACCGGATATTGAGCATTTCTACCAACAGTCCGGACTCTCTGGATAAGACTACGGGCTGGAAAAGAGGGCAAAAACAGGAGCATTACACGCAAACATGTCTCTCACTTCCTACTCAACTCCCCTGCGAAACGGGACTATTCTCTTCCATGAGGGCTAGAATATCTGATGGCTCAAAAGCCACGACATACTCATCGAAGGGGACATAATCAGCGAAATCTGACAGAACTTGGTCGCCCCCGTCCGGCTGCAAACAGATCGACTGTACAGCCAAAATCATCTCCCCGAGGTTCATTGATGCCCATCATCACTTATGGCAGAGTCAGGTCCGTCCAACTAGACCGCGGTATATTGTGAGATACATGATCCGTTGACCTATCAACAGCTCAAAGGCCGCCACGGCGACCAGGGCTTCATGGAATATATGGCTTCCGGTGTGGTCCGGTCCTTGTCTATCCCGCTGTTGGGCTATGGGCTAAGGACAAAGGGAATCTCCAATCATATAACCACCGGCCAGAAGACATCTTCTGGGGCCAGCTGAGCGGTGTCACCACCGTCGTCAATCACGCGCACATGACATACTCCCCCGAGCATGGTAGGTTTGAACACCGGCACAGTCTTGTTTAGTTCAAATAGACTGATCAGACACTCCATTTTCGTTAGCCAAGCAAGGAATCAAAAACATCAGTATCTTCGGGAATCCTATCAGTCTTCTGCTACACATCGATCCGCCGCATCCGAGAGTGGTCATCAACTGTAGAGGTCGACAACGAGTTCCTCCTCGAGTGGTGGCTATAGACGCTTGAATTCCTGGTAGTAGCTGCACCGTTCGGTGATGGGCGGGTGAGCCTCTGTCTCGCGGTAGACTTTGATGTCCCCTACGACAGCGTGGTCGACTTATGGCAAAAGACCCAGGTCCTGGGGATAAAGCTCCTCACTACGCATTATGTTGCCGGGTTTATGCCAAGTACGTGGACCTGAACAATGCCCTATTTCTCTTGGATTGAGCTAATGGACTGGCTAAAGACGCCATCCAACTCCTATCCTCCGCCAGCCAGCTAACATCGCGAGTACTAATATCTTACGGAAATGGGATCTCTGAACTAGACGCCCTCACGCTGAAACCTCAGGACGCCTTTGTCTGCAGCACGCCCGAAACAGAAATGCAAATGGGCCTTAGCGATCCAGTTGCCTTCCTCTGTGATTTCAAATCACACACCTGCGTTGGGGTCGACTGCCACTCGAACAATTCCTCGGACATCCTCACCCAGATCCGACTGATGCTGCAACATACCCGTGCCATTCGCAATACCCATGCCCTTCAGAGCAGCCAGTATCCCAGTGTTGATGTCCATCTTCAAGAGGCGTTTAATCTGGGCACGATCCAGGGGCGCTCAGGCTTTTAATATGGAAACGCAGATTGGGAGTCTGGCGGTGGGTGTTGTTTTTAACACATTGTCGCCGGGTATCGTTGTACTGCGGAGGGGAATCCTTTGGCGACGGGTTTGTCGCATGCGAGTGTGCGTGATGTTGAGAGGGTTATTGTTGATGGGTGTATTCTCAAGGAACGGGGCGTTTTAAGGCCAGTGGAGATTCGGGATGGGTTGGATACCGATGATATGACGATCACTGGTTGGAAGGATATTTCTAGGCAGCTGTTAGAGAGTCGTGAGAGAGCTCTGGAGAGAGCAATCGGACAGGATATCGGTGCTGGGATTGCAGCGCTCCGGGGGGTATAAGGATACTGTTATATGTTCTGGTGGACTTTTCAGGCTGCCAAGCTGCAAGCATGATATTGAGCAGCTATAGCAGTTTCGCAAATAGATAGACAAAACGTTATACCCTCTGCTTAGCAATTACATTCCTCATGCGAAACATCCAATAGAGTATCTAACTCTTGGAAAGCAATATCCTTCGTCTCTGGAAGGTAAAAATAGCACTAAAATTTACACAACACCGCACCCCCGGGTTCAACTATCACTGGGCCCTTGGTCTAAGATACCATGAACCATGGATGGGCGCAAGGTCCACACTGCTAGGTAATTGGGGCGTGGGTTGATGTCGATGCTTCAATGATAGACTGGCACGTGACCAGCTTACCATTCAGCATAAGTTCTGCTGAACTACTGTTCCTTGTCTTTAGCTATTGTTTCATGGGGGAAAGTAAATATAGACCAGTCAATGCTCCAATAAGTAAAACTTGATGTAATGAGAGAATTGAGCGGGTGGGACTGCCTATGTGCACAGTAAATACGCCTGAAACATAAATCCCTTATCCAGGCGACATCAATGATGTCATATTATTGACAACGCGAGTCTTGACAGTTCTTTACAGTCAGTTAATGGAATAGTAATGGAGCTTCTAGGAGTCGCTAGAAGCAATGGGAGAATCACCCCATATTACTTCCTTCCCAGTTCTAGCTTGTTACGTACTGATTGTGGAGCTGCTATCTTGGTTCACCGCGACGTCATCCTATCCACCGACAGGATTAATATTGGGTGCGTCAATTTGACGTCGACTGGTAGGCCAATTCTCCTATTAAAATGGACATTCTCGACTTGATTTTCTCCAATATGTAAAATATATATAGAAGGCATTGTCTCTTTGTCGACTATAAAACAACAGGAGCCCAACCCTACCAAATCATTTCAGAAACAACCACACCCTTCCAGAATAAAATGACTCAGTTCAAGCTCAACACTGGCGCAGAAATCCCTGCCATTGGATTTGGCACCTGGCAGGATGCCGAGGCACAAGAGAATGCCGTAGCTGAAGCCATTAAAGCCGGATACCGCCACATTGACACGGCACGAGTGTGAGTTCATGACCGACAGCTTCGCGAACATTAACTCAGTCCTGACAATCGATAGTTATGGAACCGAGAAAGCTGTAGGAAAAGCCATCAAGAAGAGTGGTGTGCCCCGTGAGGAGCTATTCATTACGACCAAGCTCTGGAACAACAAGCACCACCCCGATGACGTCGCTCAAGCCCTTCAGGATTCGCTCGACGATCTGGACCTAGAATATGTCGACCTTTACTTGATGCATTGGCCTGTGGCATGGAAGCGAGGAGATGAGCTTTTCCCCAAGGAGAATGGAAAGCCGGCTGTCATAGATGTTAACTTCGTTGATGTATGCCTCCACATCGGCAGCGCTCTGAATTTCAAAGCTGCATGACTGACTTCCAACCACAGACGTACAAAGCAATGGAAAAGCTGCTATCCACCGGAAAGGTCAAAGCAATTGGCGTCTCGAACTTCTCCAAGGCTGACATGGAGCATCTGCTTAAGAACACCTCGGTCGTGCCCGCGGTGCATCAGCTAGAGGGCCACCCATGGCTGCAGCAGCGTTCGTTCGTCGACTGGCACAAAGAGAAGGGCATCCATGTCACTCACTACTCTCCCTTCGGAAATCAGAATGAGCTCTACAGCCGTGGAGGTACTATTGGCAAGTTGATTGATGACCCGGTACTGGTGGAGATTGGCAAGAAGTACAATAAGAGCTCAGCTCAGGTTGCTCTTGGTAAGTGCTGTGTGCTTAAGATCGATATTAATTGTGGAACATACTAACTATTCCTTGTAGCTTGGGGTGTTACACAGGGCCATTCGGTGCTTCCTAAGTCCAAGACTCCCTCAAGAATCAGGGACAACTTGGCAGGAGACTTCAAGTTGAGCGATGAAGATATGCAGAAGATTCATGGAATCGATAGGAAACTTCGTTTCAACGACAGCAGCTCTGACTTTGGTCGGGACTTCTTCTCTGACTTGGATGGAAAGAAATGAGCTGTTAGGGTACTCACATTGAGCTTTGAGAATGATTGAATGACTACCTTCCTGATGCTGCCAATATAGTTACATAATACAAGTCTCGGTTGCCGTATAAAGTCCTGATAAACGACATCTTGTTCATATCATCCTTTTATTAAGCTTGCCTATGTCAAAGCTTCAAACTATATAGGTAATGTAAATTAGTTTTGATACGACCTGCCATATGAGATTGATTTCCGTAGGTGTCTCCATAGAAGTCCAAAGCTTCTTTCCAAAGCTCTTCCGCACTCTGAAATTCCGAAGCTGCACATACACCTAAAGCCATTTTATGCTCGCCTTCCACCATGAATGCTGAAGCTAGCTCGTCCACCACGCGCATAGTGTCTGGATGGCGACGACCCCACCATTCAGCATAAAGAAAAATAACATCCTGCAGCAAGCTCTGCGCTATGCTGAATTCACCAAGTTGGGTATTGGCCTTTCCAAGATTTACCTTGGTGGACACTATGGTTGGATGGGATTCGCCCAACACTCCTCTTTGGCTGTCAAGAATGTGGGAGAAGATATCAGTTGCTGCAGCTACTGAGCCTTTTCGTAGAAGAACCTCTCCCATATCGTTTAATATGCGAATATAAAGTCGCTTCCGTTCATCCTTCGTCAGACCGTATTGGCTCGGCGTATGCCGAGCAAAGTGAGATGCTGCCTTGCGCAAGTTTTCTTCAGCTTCCTCTAGTCTACCAGTCATCATGAAGGCCACAGATTTATTGTAAATGATAGACATTGTTATGTCAGGCGTTAGACTGCCAAGCTGACTCCTTAGGCTCCATGACTTATCAAATGCGTGAAGCGCGAGGTCATATTCACGCTGACCTATGTAAGCTAAGCCGAGATTGGTGAGGACGTCGCTTAAAAACTCTCCTCTAGGAATGGTAAGTACCTCCTGGTCGAGTCCCTTCTCGATCATCTTGTAAATGAATGACGCCTGGCTATATCGCCCAAGGTGGCGGAACAATCGTCCAAGGCTTTCAAGTTCTGTGAGGTTGGTACGTGGTCCCCATCTACCTCGTACTATATAACTCCAGCATTGAATAGCATGTGGCTCTAGGCGTCGCATCTTGTTCCAGAAATTCTCCTCGTATGATCGTGGAACCTGTGCAGCCACTAGTGAGACTACACATCGTATGTACTCCTGCTCTTTAGACATTGCTCTTTGTCTGGCCACAGCTTGAATTGCTGGGTGAATCTCCCAAAAGCGTTGACCGTTGACTGAGAACTTCAACTCAATAAATGATAGATCTGCTAGCACGGGGTAGTAGTTTTCGAATGCCTTATGCTCCTTTGCAAGCTCACGGAGCCAACCTGGATATGTATCGTCGGTTGCAGTTAGGCAAAGATCATACCAGAGGTCTCCATAATCAAGAAAGCTGAACATAGACAATATATTAGCCGCTACCGTATTAGTGGTTTCTAGCTCATGAAAGCTCAGGTCTAAGCAGAGGCAGAGGGCTTTGTTAGTTTCAAGAAATAAGCTGTCGGCTTCACGATTTTTCCATATGCCCAAAAAGTCGGTGATTTCATATCGATAACGAGAGATAACCGATGCTGCTAGTCGAAGGGCCAAGGGATGTCCCTTCAACAAGGTTGATAACTCTTCCATGCCTGATATTTGCAAGCCATAGTCACGATTCCGTAAAGCGTGGGAGTGAGCCGCTACCTCTTGCATGGATGAGCTTGGTATCAACTTGCAATTGGAGTAGTTTAACAGCATCTTCATTTTTAAGGCCTCTGATTTCGCAAATTGGATGATACATTTCTACCAGGTCTCGCCTTTTTGCAATGAGAAGGATATAGCCACGCTTCAGCCTTCCAATGAAACGGTGTATATCAAGGGATGGTGTTTCTAACGTATCTAGGTATGACTGTCCACTTATACCGTCGATGACGAGAAGCCATCTCTGATCTTCTAGACGATTAAGCTCTGCAAAGAATGTGTCGACAAGACCAGCTCGGTTTTCATACGGACTTCTTGATCGTGTGCTGTCGGATGACATACTTTCCGACAATGCAGGATGATTCCCCCCTCTGAGCATTTTGATGACACTTTGCTCTAATGCTTCCCGTGTTTCACCGGTAATCCAGAATATGTCACGCATCGGATGCTTGGATCGCTGCTGATGCACAAACCTTGATGCCAATTGCGACTTGCCTACGCCACTGAGCCCCCAGAGACCAACGATAGACTTTTGCAATGGCTGTTGCTCCTCAAAACCTAGGGTTTCCTCCAGGTAGCTCAGCTCTTCTTCTCGCCCCACAAATGCCCACATATCAGGCAGAGCATATGCCAAACGGGTATCTAGATCTGCAAAAGGTGTCGAAAGGAGACCTAGAGGCATGCATGAGCATTTGTAACATGGGTTTTTCTCGATCCAAGCGGACCAAGCCCGAGGCATTTGGCCATGAAATGGGAGTTTGCAAATCTACTTGTATACAAATCCCACGTACCTGGAGACTTCCTCCTAATTTGGGTTGGTAGCTTGACCAGAACCTCCTTTGCGTATGCCGCTGCAGTAATCGCAGCGTATGGTTGCCAAGCATCGTTCTTCGAGGAGTCCGCAAAATCACTTATGCCTCGAATCACAGCAACTGGTAGCCTTGTCATTATCCCGGCAGCCTCCATCTCTACTGCTATACCACCATATTTGTCTCTCAGATGATCTCTTTTAACCTGCGACTTGATCACACTGTTTCCAGAAAGTATAGTACCATAATGGATCATTGGGTGAGTAGTGCTGCGTGACTGTTGGTCCCATGACCAGCTATCGCTTATACGAGGATTACCTGGTTTCTGGAACTCTGGTCGCTCCTCCAGGATGCACAGGTGCCGTAGGAATCCAGATTCGTTACGAGCTCGAATGACATTAATGACTGAGCGGAGAAGAGGATGCGTTGCATTCTGCCAGTGCTTCAACTCAAATATGTCATTCTCCCCCGCTTTGCCCAGATCATATCCAACTACTCCAGGACGATCTGCCTCGGGAACAGCTACCGCGACATCTCCCAGCCGAATGTCCCTAGTAGGTGAGGGAATCCCGCCAGCAATACCGACAAGGAGTCCCATCTCCAGATTCGGCAGATCACGCAACACTTCCGCTACCATACTTCCGGACACAGCCAGACCTTGTTCCTGATAGTAGCCAACTACAGCCACCTTGTGACTACCGACTTCACCGATAGTATACACCACATTTTGGCCTTTGGCTCTTGATGGACTATCGTCGAAAACTTTGTCTAGCATGGCAATGGCTGCTCGGAGCTCAATCTCTAGCGGACATAGCCAGACAATAGTACAGTCTTCGAGCTGAGCCGCCATAATCGCTTAGAGAATAAGTAATTGTTGCGTAAGACGACTGACGTTTCTTCCACAATGTCCAATATAGCTGAGAATTGACCAGGGTTTGGCTCCAATTCGCATAGGTACCTGGGCAGTTATACACTGCCAGAAACAAGTGACTTTAGGTGTCTGAAGGCTAAACCATCTGGTCAGTCGCCCATACTTCGCAGTGTACATATATAGTGGGGATTGATGTGACTGTTTGCTTACTTGTAGTGGTTTGTGATGAGGCTAAAGTACCAAATGCCAACAATGCCCAACTGATCATTGCCAAAATGCGGAGTTGGGCATCGTCAGGTGATTCAATGTGGCCGGCAACCCTGAACTATTTTTCTCTTTCGTTATGATGTTTATAGCATATTGACTGAATATATACGGGTAAGAAACATCGTGCTGCTCTTATCTCTCTCTTCCTGACTCGCGAGCATTCTGAAAAGGTAAATGGTTACGCATCCTGAATTCAGATACTCAATAAGCTTAAGCAGCCTGTATTTCCAGAGGTTCTGGAAACCTGTATACATGCATGGCCGACGCTTCAGTTTATTGTCGACCTCTCCGTCCTCTGTCTACCCAATGCCTTTTAATGAAGAAAGATAGCGGTGAAATGCCACTTCTTTCAAAACGAGTGTATCCTATAATTGAAACTTGATATTCCTTAGATCACACAACTTGCTGGTGCTACATGCATTTGCTTGACGGAGTGTAATCTCAAGATACCTATAATTAGTAATTCAGCTTAACTACCGTATAAGGTATATCTAAGTCTTCGGACTTATTAAAGAGTACTGGGCAATACTGATAATTAGGATCTTCATTGGAATCACAAAGCCTATCATGGAGGACGAAATAGTAGAGAAGAGTCTTCTGGGACCGTGTTTACCAAACAGTAAGTATTGACAGCCGGGGTAGGAAATAGATATAGGCGGACGAGAATGAAGAATTCGCCATTGCCCGGATGGCGTATAAACCCTTATACCATTCCAACTACACCTTTTTGTCTTCAATGCCAAATTATAGAATAGTCTTTCCATTAGACTCATCTATACTGTACCAAAAAGGCCTTTTCTGCTAAGAGTGTGCGGCATATGAATTCAAACCCGGAACAATCGTCCTGCGCTTATCTATATCGGGATGCTTGGTGAAGAATGGTGTTCCTGAATATATAGCTGGACAGCGGTTCAATTCAGAGAAGTCAATAGTCAGGGGCGTTTGAGGAAAGTAATACCTGTGGATCTGCCCTCTACAGAGATCCTCCATGGAAGTCTGCCGGTTCTATATTGACTGTGTCACAGGAGGCAATGTCCATGTTAAGCTTTGGTCTATCCCTAGATAGGCAATGATTAAGAACTTCTTAAGTAATGTATTATGAGGAGAAGTCTCTATGGCGTCGTGTGTGACGGCGTGGAAAATGAGGCTTTTGTGTTGGGTTAGATTAGATGCCCGGGTTTCTCGTGATCTGAGTTATGGGCCAGAGATTAGTTATGCAGTTATACTGAGTCTCAGAAGCCTTTTAGTACAGCAATGATGGCAGTTCTGATATTAAGTGCTTCGGTCTTTGTGCAGTTGTAGTCCGACCAAGGTATTTATTCTGAGAAAGCAGCGGTGACAATAAAATGTAATGATTGACCAGAATTTCTCGCAGTACAGGACAGGGTAGCAAAGCACAAATCCAGAAGCGACAAAAAGAGAGAAGAACAAGGAGAAACATTAGAGAAATGAGAAATAGCTCGACTTTCGATGCAGACCCGGCAGATGAGATTCGCATTCACTCTACCAAAGCTCAAGCCTTTCCTCGCAGAGGAGTAAAGGAACCAAGGGTGAGGCCACGGTTCAGTGAATCATATTCCTTGTCTAGCACTTTAAGAACCTGTGGCATCAGCTTACAGCAATGAAATGAGTAATCTCTGTCCATGCCAAAACACGCGGTTCTCAGTTTCATGAAACTGTATCCGGCAGCAGGTCGCTGGGACGTTTTTGAAAATATGCCAAACTTCTGCTTTCCTTTGACAAGTGCTGCTAGGCGCGTCAGATCGCATTCGAAGCTACACAGTTGTGGGCCATATCGCAAGTGATGGAATAGGTCATAGAGAGCGTCAATAACATTGCAAATACCTGTTGACCTCGACGTCTGCAACGTATCTGTTGAACTCGTATGTTAGTTATCATTGTGTTCTCGGTTTGCAAAAGCAACATACTTGATGGAAATACCTATGACCTTAGCAGGGATTGCCAGTTTATTTGCGAAGATCTTTTCTGTGTGCTCTAGCTGGATGTGCTTCGTTACGAATTCAAAGGCTTGATTCTTTCGCAAAGCCCATGTGATGCATAGCCACTCCATGGGATTCTCCCTAGCTATTGTCGACTGCTTCTTTTCAAATTCTCTAGTCCACAGAGCAGCAGCCATGGCAACAGCTTCGTAGCATTGGTAGTAGTCAACAAGTACAGCCATATCTCTCAGCCAGTTAAAGCATAGAGAGTGTGGCACTAACCGAGTCTGCCCGTGAAAGATAGCCATCAGTAGCAGAAACGGCACAGGTTCCCAGTCACAGATCAGCATCTCTATATGACCCACAGATCGGAGCTCATTGCCCTCCTGGAATCCATTCTGGAATGTGGCCCTGAACTGTGGGCTGGCTAGAACTAAATGCTTTGAGGATGCACGGATGTGCAGAGATAATCCAGAGTTTTTGGCGGGATCTGACTGACTATTTGGGAAGGTTCGTCAGTGTGATTGAAACCAAGATCTCCGGTTGGTGTTAACATACCTAACATAGCACTTCGAGAGGAGAGAAGCGTTGAGATCACCCAAGTTCTGCGGCAGGGAATTTGGAGCACGCTCCATGATGAATGTCACATCTCCATCAGGATCGAATTGATAGAGTATGTTAGGCATGTTAAGGTCTCTTCAATATTGTGTGGTACTCTTTTGGTGTGTGAAGCTTGACTGGCAGTGGGAATTGTTGATATGGGAGTAGGTGAGAGCCAGTTCAGAAGCTGGAGAAACATGTAGCTGTTTCATAGAAGGGACCATGATTTGCAAATGTGTTATTCCGACCCAGAATCTCACTCAGTGTCCTTGATCACATATTCACTGATTCAGAAACAAGTGTTTTCGGTTTGTCGAAGGCTGAGCCCTATGTAAGCACCCGTATATCTATTGCATCCAACACTCTGACTTGTTGTCGGATGCAATGACTAGTGGTGAAGAGGTTCAAATGAGAGTAGTTTCAAAAGTGAATGGTTTCATTGTATATATTCCTATAAATTATTCCTCATCTTTAAGGTTGACCTTAACGCTGAATATTCTTGGTTCTTCTCGCAAAGCTGAACGCTACAATATGTAGAGATGTATAACGCAGTCAGGATATACTGCTCCATGTTATCAATTCCTAGTGAGAGAGGTTTGCATCCCGAAGCAAGGTGTCCAGAGTTGTTCTAGATTAGTAGAAGTAATCTGTAGACATCAAGGCGCTCTAGCCGTCTAGTGGATACATCCGAATATAAGCCACCTGAAATAACATCCATAGTCTGATGCTGTATAAATTCCATGGTCATAGGGAGACACCATGTAGTATGAGTGCCAGTGACTCCGAGTCGGGATACTTTCAAATATGATCCTGTATCTATCAGACCAAACCCAATGCACCAAAGAAAGAAAGTCGACTGAATAGAAATATGGAAGCCTAGCAGAATTGAGTTTGACCGTGCGGACTATATCGAATCACACCCATACAAAGGTTAATTGACTGCTGCCTAGAGTCTGTCCTCCGTTTGATATTAGGGCTCTCCTCCATATAGAAGAACTGATTCTTCTGTGGTCCTAAAGTAAGCATTCGTCGTTTAACTTACCTGACTAAAATACAGCTAAATTTATCAAGTGACGACTGACTCCCCAAGAACACGCACTAAGACCTGCCATAATGCTTACCATACATCGCCAAGCTGAATGATTTACACTTTAATGACTTCCCCCATGTAGAAAGATCTACAAACCAAACTGAACCACACAAAGATCCCATTCTCTAAACCGTTTCACATTCTATTATTCCATTTATTCAGACTACGTCTGAAATAGACAGCAATAAAGGCATCCCCGGAACCACTCCCTTGGCAAAAAGGCAGTGTTCCCAGCCAAGAACGCGAGAAGCAAACCCGAGAATTTATTTCTCTCCCGAACTTAACCTCCTATTTAACTAATAGGGTTTCCACCTGATTGGTTCTATCGTAGTTATTTCCGCGGCTAAGATTTGATCGTCGACTGTTGATCCCTGGCGGGACAGTCAGGATTATATTCTGTCAGTTGACCCGTCATAGTTAATCAACTACTCATTCACTCATTCTCCTCCCTTTCGTCAATCCTCCCATGATCAAGAAACACCAACACCAACACCAACACCACAAGAATACGCATCTAGATGCCCGGCGACAAAACCACCCACACGATGGGGACGCGTAATGTGGACATCACCACCGCAAAACAATACCTCCCACTTCTAATATCCTATGTAATCGACTGGGTGTTCATCATGTACATCCCCCCCCTCTTTCTACTAATCTATTAATCTACTGCAGAGAAAACAAAAACTAATACAGAATGGATGACCAGAGGAATAGCCCTAATCGGCTACGGCTTCCACAAAGTCACCCCCAACCACCGTCCCTTCACACTAACCGACCCCAGCATCTCGTTCCCATACACCACGCATGAAACGGTGAGCACCGCCGTCCTGGTCGTCGTGGCGCTCATTGTGCCGGCGGTGATTATCGTTCTCGTGACCCTGGTCATCATTCCCGGGGCATGGAATCGGGGCACGACCTGGCGGGTGAAGATCTGGGAGTGGAATGCTGGGTGGTTGGGGCTGGCGCTGGCCGTTGCGGCGGCGTTTATGGCTACCGAGGGGTTGAAGGATTTGTATGGCCGGCCGAGACCCGATATGTTGGCTCGCTGTGACCCCGATCTGGGGAATATTGCGGCGTATGTGGTTGGGGGGCTTGGAGGGCAGCTGGACGGTGCGCCGAGGCTGGTCAGTTCGGAGATTTGTAGGAATAGGGGCAAGGAGTTGGTTATGGATGGGTTTGCGAGTTTTCCGAGTGGGCATTCTTCTTGTGAGTTCTTTCTTTCTTTATTCTATTTTTTATCCTTTTTGCTGGTTTGGTTTCTGGTTTTGGGGTGATGGGGTTGGATTTGATATTAACTGATCTATCTAGTTGCCTTTGCCGGGTTGACCTATCTGAGTCTCTGGTTATGCGCAAAGTTCTCCATTGGATTCCCCTATTTGGCGCATTCGCCCTTCGGCCTGGATCTGCGCGCCCAGAAGCGCGAGGCCATTCGCGACCTGGGCGCTGCGCCTCCCGTGCTCTTGATTATCCTTGCCTTCGTGCCGATGGCGGTCGCCTTCTTCATCTCGGCGTCGCGCTGGTTTGACTTCCGACATCATGGATTCGACATTATCTTCGGCTCCGTCATGGGCATGGTCTTCGCCTGGGGTGCATTCCGCCTGTATCACCTCCCCATCATGTGTGGTGGCGGCTGGGCCTGGGGCGCCCGAAGCCGTCGACATGCCTTCTTCAAGGGCGTCGGGCTCCCAAGCCACATCGGCGGCGACAACTGGACCAGCATGGCCGACGGCCCCCGGCGAGAAGAGAGCGCAGCAGGCCAAGACGTCGATCTGGAAAGCGGGCCCCGCAACCTGGCAGAATAACCAAGGGAACCCCGGACGAGAGGTGTTGAGTGAGTGTTGTTAGTAGAATCTTTTCTTTGCGTCCCACGCGATACGTTAGTCCATAGCTGTATACCCGTTCGCACTATAGTCGAGATAATCTGTGCGCCATATGCTTCGTTAGAAATAAAAGGTTACGTTATACTCAGGCCAGATCCGTTTCATCCAAATGATCCACGGTAGATATCCCAGGCTGTATCACCTCCACCCACCCACTCT